TCCTAGTAACCTCCCCCTATTGCTTATCTTACTGGTCACTTTGGAGTTTGTGTATTTGAGCTGGAAGGATTTGATAGCTCCTTTTGCAGTTCACATTTAATTTTATGCCTTTTACTCTAACAAAAGCACATGATCAGCAGTCCTGCTGCCCTTAATAAGGTGTTTAATTTACAAGTTCTAAGTTGCCTACGGAGCTCCACACTGTAGGGGAAGTTTGCACTTATTTTTTTATGTCCTTCTAATTACTTTCTATATTTTGCTTTGCTGGCACAAGGGTACAGTATTTGATTTGCTTGTGTTGCAGCAATCTTTACAGAAGACCCAAACAATATTTTACCAGCTAAATGGCCAGTCAAGACTAAATTAATACCATGGGCTGAACACTGGTCTGCTGCAGAGCCCATCATGTGAGAAATTAATTTGAAATGCAAAGTGAGGGGAGGTTGTGGTGGATTTTGTTATTGTTGTTGTTGTTGTTGATATAAGTATTGATACTTATATCAATATAAGTATCAGGCTGAAGGAAAACAAACACTTCTACTTTGGCAGGGCAGCACAGAATCAGCACCTCAGGAACTCTGAGTCTACTGCTTATGAACGAAAATTGGGTCAGACAACCTGGAATTCAACATTTATAAATTGCAAATAAAAATTTGGACTAAAAAATTGACGATCATGGGAACTCTCTATCTGCACCTTGAAAACGGAAACAAAACATTCCTTTTACCCAGGGCTGAGGCTTTGGATAAATTGAAGAAAATTTAATATTTTATGGGTTTTGTCCATCATACAATCCCTTCTCTCACAACAGGAATTTCCTCATGGTGTGGCATCTTGACTTGGACACTCTGGTGGAGATGCAGCAGCATTCCCATTAGGAACTGGCTTTCCAGTGTGGCACAAGTGGTAACAAACCCCCTGCACAACAAACCTTGGTACAGGGTCTCCAACTGGAGCAAGAAACTCCTCCTAAAGGGTTGAGCAATCTCTGCAAAATCCTGCAAAATCAGGACTCCAAGTCCTGAGCTGACCACGTCCCACCAGCCCGTTGGTGTCTGTGAAAGGACAGGCTCTGAGTTGATGGATTTGTCACCTAAGTGGATCAGACAGACCAAAGGGGAGCGTGAGGAAGTGTCATTATCCCTGTTCCATGGCCTGGGAGATGGAAGGCAGTTACTCATTGAAAGTCACACAATAGATGTGTGGGTGCCAGATGCTGGAGATGCCAGAGAAGGGATTTAAACCCAGATGTCCTGAGTGCCAGCTCAGCACACTAAATTCAGAGTTGTCCATCCTCTCCAAAATCCAAGAACCTTTCTTATTGATTCAGTATTTAGAACACTTTGGCTGCCATAAACAGATACTTCGAAAAACTCCACAATTTACTAATGTAAAAGACACCTTTCACTACCCTGTTCATCTCCTCTAGGAATGAAGAAATGTATCCATCTAGGAGGCAAGAGAATAACAACTGTGGTGACTTTTCACAAGTGGATGTTCCATCACATCTGAATGACTTGCCAGTAACACCTGAAAAGTCTGTGTTAGGAGAAATAAATCCAATCTCACTCGATACTGTAGTGATTTTCAGGTATCCGCCTTTAATATTTTGTTCCTCGGTTTTCCTCCAGTCTTTGATGCATTTTTAAACATTACAGATCATAAAAATTTATTGTTTTCAGATTGATAAAAACAATTCCTTATGCTGGAATAAATGGAGCGTCTCTGGTGGATACGATTGAACTGATGTACAGCAAAGAACACAACTTAATGAGGAAGCCACTACCTTGGAAAAAAAGGGAAGGAGGTGGGGAATCTGTAGCTCTGAAGACTAAACTCTGGAGCATAAATTACAATGGAAGTTTATGGAGTCTTTTGGATTAAATGAAAAGCCAGCCCCATTAAACCAAATGGAGCATTCCTAATCTGACATGTTGACAAGGACAACCCTGCCTATTCCAAAAGGGAGTTTCAAATGAATCCAGATTTATCTGATGTTCCCAACAGGGGCTGGGCTGACTCGAAAGGAAGTTATCCTGGCCAAAAATAAACAAGATGCACATGAAGCAGTTTGTGCCACCAGGAAACCTTCCAGGGAATATGCAGAGAGGAGAAGGAGAGCCAGGAGAATCACAGCCTAAGATGTCTTTCCTCTCTCCTCATTATGTCCTGTTTCTATTTCTTCAGAGAATGTAAATCAAAGCTTCTTCCCCATGAGATCCCTGGTCCTTCTATTCACTTTCCTGATCTTTGCTCACCTAAGAATCTCCGTGTGCCACCTCTCCCCAACACTCCCTGCAGCTGCAAGGGAGCAGCCACAGAGATGCTGTTCCTACATCCACTGATGCTCATCCTCAGTTACTGATTCCTGGAGCTGACCAGCCATGCTTTTCCCAGGAGTGTGTGCACACAGTGTGAATTATGTAATTCTAGAAAGCAAATTTAGCCTTTTGCAGCTGCTTTTACTGTGGCAGACATGAAGTCACAGTCATTGCAAATAGCAGGACAAGCACCTTTGGCATTTACATTTTGTCAAACCAACCTTTTAATTTGCAATGAGGCCCCAGGAGATCTGCCCTGGAGAACTGAGATTGTTCAGCCTGGAGAAGAGAAGCTTTGGGGTGACCTAATTGTGGCCTCCCAGTGCCGGAAAGAGCTACAAGAAAGATGGAGAGAGACTATTTACAGGGGCCTGGAGGGACGGGACAAGAGGGAATGGCATCACACTGACAGAGGACAGGGTAAGATGGGATATTGGGAAGGAATTCCTCCCTGTGAGGGTGGGGAGGCCCTGGCACAGGTTGCCCAGAGAAGCTGTGGCTGCCCTATCCCTGGAAGTGTCCAAGGCCAGGTTGGACAGGGCTTGGAGCAACCTGGGCTAGTGGAAGGTGTCCCTGCCCATGGCACGGGGTGGAATGAGATGATCTTTAAGGTCCCTTCCAACCCAAACCTTCTGTGATATCGTCACTGCACCATGTCTGAGCACAGCCTGACGTGAGCTTTGTAATCCCCTGGAGCAGAGTCACTAAATTACATGTTTCAATGAGATCTATAACATCAGAGACAGAGAACAGCTCCTTAATACAACAGCCTCCAAAGAGGCTTGAGCTCAAATACCCCTGCAGAGAACAAGGCTTCCCAGTGTTAGAGACAATATTGGGGAGTTCTACCTCATGCAACTGTACTTTTAAAGGAAATCCAAGTTTGTGCCCATAATAATGGTGTGTTCAGAGCTTCCTAACAGAGAAAAGTCTGTCTGGCTACATGTGGACAAGCCCCTGTGCACACAGGAGGTGAGGCTGAGGAGTGTCTGCTCCCCAAGGCAGCTCTGGGGGTTCTGAAGCACAGACTGTGCACATGCAGGATGGAGACAGTGAGAGGATGTTTGGCAGTGAGGGCCAAGGGTTAAAATATGAGTCTCAGAAGGTCGTTTCATAGCCTGAACTATAGATTTCGTAGCAGTCTTAGTATTCTCTTAGCTGCATTTGAGAAATCAGAAATCTGCTCCAGAAAGTGTGTTGCCTTCCATCCATTTAGCATTTAAATTTTGTGTGTGAATCTCTTGCATCAAAATGACAGCAGTGCTGTTTGTCCCTGAGCTGTGTCACTTGCTGTCCCCAGTGATAACTGTATGATAATGGCCATATTCTAGTGGAATGTGATACTTGAAAGAAATATTCTAAGAGAATTAAAAAAAAAATAGATTACTAGTGCCACTTGCAGCAGTGAGAACATTTGCAAAGAGATAGGGCAGTATATTGCTGCAGTATAGAAAATTGTGGAAACACTGCACATAAACTAGAAAAGTGACAATCAGTGATTTTATGAATCCAATCAGTGATTTTATTCACCACAGCCATGTTGATCTTAACAGCAGTTTTAGGTACTGCCAAGGAAGAGTTTTTATCATATGTATATACACATATATATACACACAGATAGCTATATTAATATATCTACATGAGTGGATAGATGTGTGTGCATTTATGTATAAAATCACACAAACCCACAAAGTCTTGATCTCGTCCTTTTGCTGCAATGTTTAACAAATCTGGTAGAGATTTATTCTGATGATATTACAGCATATTTGCTACATGTGCCAAGGGGTTTTTTTGCTTATTTGTGGGATTTTTTTGTGGGTACTGAGAAGGTAGTAGGCATCTGCGTTTTGGGGTTCAAGCAGATGCAAAAACCTGAGTCTGGCCAGGTCAAGATTTCAGTTTGAGAAGTGTGAAATGCTGAGCTGGATCTCTCCAGTGGCTCTGGGACAGTGATTTTGCTCTTGTCTGCCTGTAAGATGTCTTTTGACTTGCTCTCAACCTTGGCTAGAAGCTCACATTTGAGGCTTTGGCTCTCCTTCCAAAGGGGAATATTTAGGCCAACACAGACACTTGAATCATGGGCAAGTTCCATTAAACGATATTGGAGACGTTTGTTTATAAAACTATTTAGGACGAGTGGGATTAGGGATGGGTATCCCAGAGGGAGTAGGGAACCTGTGTGCCTGGATGAGGGAGCTCCTGCAGTGCTGGGGATGGGGGACACCACCCCTGCACTCCTGTCCCCAGCCCAGGGTGTGCAAACCTTGGCAGCAGCACATCATCCCCTCCCTGGGGAGGGAGGTGACTCACAGGGGTGTCTGAGTCACCGGGGCTTCCCCGGGGCGAGGCAGCACCGGGCACAGCGCCCTGCCTGGTGTGGACGGGGAAGGAGCTTCCACCTCCCCAGACCTGCAGGAGGAACAACCTCCCTCCTGTCAGACCCACACACCCGAGTAGCCACAGGTGACAGAGAGGATGGAGGTGACACAGGACACGTGTAATATTCATTCTATGAGTTGTTTTTGTTGTATTTGCTTTGTGTTTCCAGTTCACTGGGGCCACAACTGGCGGCAGTTCCCTGCAGAGCCTGCAGTGATGTGAGAACAGAGAGGAGCAGTGAGTGCCTGTTGGGAGTGCACCGGGCTCCTGGCATCCTCAGCTGTTTTCCACCCACCCTTGAAAACCATCTCTGGCCCAAAATGGAACTGTGAGCTGTACCACATGCTCCAAATGAAGTGCTAATTAAATACTTCTACTTAATGTAGACAACGTTTCTTTGAGAAGGCTGTAATGTATCGCAGATGTGGCGAATCCCTTGGAGAGCAGAGAAGGAGCACTGTGCACGTTGGATCCCTCTGTGAGGTAGGGATGTGACCTGGGGGGTTGGGATTGGTAAGGCCTAATGCTGAAACAGCACTTGTCTGATCCAAATTCCCACACACGTTCTCTACAGTGACCTTGGTATCGGGAATACTGCAGGTGCTTCCATATGGATGCACACTCTGACACATGGGACATAAATGGTGGAGCTGTGGAGCTTGAATGGGTACTTGAGTCTTAAGAAAAACAGGTAAGAACTGGTGGGTGTTGCAGAAAAGTCTCCTGGGTGGGGCCTCAGCCATGCAGGAGGAACTGGCAAGTGGTTTTTGGCTCAGGCTGTCCCAGTGCAGGACAGAGCTCCACAACAAAGGAGCTGGAAGGCTTTGGGTTTAGCACTAAAGCCCTTTCTGGCAAGAGGAGAAAGGCTGAAAACCCAGCTCTGGAGTATCTGGATGACTGTCCTGAAGTTATTGCCACTGAAATCATGGTTGTTCCTTAGGTTTCGGGGTCAGCAGCCAGGGGGCTCAGAAGAGCCACATCACCCAGCTTTTGGGAAATGCTGATGCCTTTGTGACTGTGTGTTCAAGTCCATTAAAGCCTGGATTGCCCGTGAGCAGTTTGCTGGCTGGAGTCCAGCTCTAGCTCTGTCTTGAGGGAAAGGTTTGAGCAAAATCGGTGTCTTTATGCAGCCCCAGGCTCACCCCAGTGAGACAAAAACAGGGCTGTGAATTCAGGGGTTCTGTTTTCTAGTACGAATCCCAAACTGGGATTGAAGCACTTTGTATACCAGACCCAGATGACCACCAGGCCAATAACTAACCAAATGGACCTAAATTTGCGTGCACAGAGCTTGTCCCCATGTTCCTGTGCTCCTCACACACATGGCCTCTGCCTGCAGGCAGGCTCTGACACCAAATCCTCTTGGCTTGTCTTGAGAGGGAGGAGATTTTCCTCATAATCCATAGGACTAGAAATCCACACTGTCCTTTCTGTGTCAGTTTAAACCTTTGAGTATCTGAGGGGCTGCCCATGAGCCACTGGCACTTTGTCCCAGCTCACGATTCAGGGATGGGTCAGAGGGAAGGATCAGCGTGGACCAGTCCTGCTTCCAGTGCCCAAAGTCTGCAGGTGAGATGGAGCCAAAGGGAACAGAGAAGGATGTCTGGTCACCTGGACAGTGCTGCTCCCATCGTCCTCCCACACTATCCCTGCCTGTCCCCAGCCCAACAGCTCCTCCACCCCAGGCAGGGGCATCTCAGCCATGCAGAGCTGAGGGGGAGCTGATTTCAAGCTGGGCAGTTTCTGAACAAATCACTTGCAAGGTGCCTGGTGGCTGGAAGTGCAGAATTAAGGGGACAGCCACAGTTGTCAGTGTTTTGGGTAGATATTATTCACCTTTTGTGGGTGGGAAGGAAGTTCCAAGGTGGGCTTCAAGCACACAGAATTGCTTGGGCAGATGCAGAGGGCACTGGCATGAGCCTCCAGGGAACTGTGGTTGTCCTGTGTGAAGATACTCCAGGAGATACCAACCAAAAGCAGGCAAAAATCTTAGTTTTCAGAGTGACACAGCAATTAATTAGGACTGTCTTTGCTGTTCTCTTGCTGGGCCTGATGACAGAACAATATGGAGATACCTTCAAAGACTTTCTAATAGGAAATATACAGCATTTTCCTGTGTAGAGTATGAAAGCTGCTCCTGTAAAAAAACATGGAATATTCCTCATTTCTTTCAAGATGGTTCTGCGATGTTGGGAGTGCTTTTTAGGGTTCTGTGCTCTCTTGGGAGAAAAAGGAAGTAGAAATCCAAGATGATGCAGAAATAAGAAAAAGGGGGAAGAGAAAGCAGATGGTGAGGTGGAGAGCTTTCCTTAACTGAGCGCTGCACACTGAGGATGAGAATTCAATTGCCTGTTGCTATTTATCGTGACCACATAAAATTCAAAGTACTTGAGTATTTAAATAGCAATAGATTCAGAGATGAGTCATGAGGCAGAGCTGATATTTTATCCCTGGACATGTTGGTGAATGGTTTTCTAGTTCAAGGATCTTATTTCCACTTTCCCTATTTTAATGGCATTGCTGTTCTCAGATTATTTTGTTGTAGAGAAAAGGGAAAAAACGAATGCTTCTGAGGCTGTCTATTATTACAGACTTAATTATTTTCTTTTAAAAACCACATTGGTACACTGTATTGCAGAGATATTCCAAGTTCTCACTCTTCAGAGATAATTGGGAGAGAGTTACCTTCTGACTCCTTCTGTAGAACACTTGGAGAGGAATTTTTGCTGCTGTTGGTGAGCAGGTCTCTGAGTCAAGTCTCATTTTGCACATCTTCTTTTGCCAAGGGGCAATGTGTCATTTGTGTGATAGTCACTGCAGGCATCCTGCACAAGGGAGGGAACATTTCGGAGTGCAGAGAAGTATATCCAGTGGTATAAACTTAAAAAAAAAAAAAAAAGAAAAAAATCCTGCAAAGTTCAGTTCTGCATGTGGAAGTGGACCTGATTTTCACTCCTTCAAGTTTAATTCTCTTTGTATTTCTGGGTATGGCAAGCTAGAATAGGCTGAAATTCGTACCATAAATAGGATCATTCACATGAAATGTATTTTGATACAAAACGTTCTCTCTTGCCCAGAAGACAGGCAGCCCCTCCAGCCCTGAAATCATTTGTCCTGGTGCAGTGGTGGTTTTAGAAGAGTCAAGTTTGAGAGCAGACAGATCCTTGTCCCAAGGAAAGTGTTGCTGATGTTGGAGCCAGGGACCCTGAACAGAGGCTGCTTTTGGAAGAGGCATGTGGAGGGTTGTTAATGCTGGAGAGGGAACTGACTCATCACATCATCAATTCTGCTCCTCTGCCAGCGCAGCACAAAACATCTTTTATCATCACACTCTCTCTTTCTTCTTCTTTTCTATTTTAAAGGAGTTTAAAGCTGTTCAGCCTCTTGTCTTCCCCTTCCCCAGCCTGTTGCTGTTCTCTGGATGGTGGTTACAGTTTGGGGTGATGGAGCCCCTTTGCCCTGTGCAAGAGGACTCTCCCCATCCAGGCATTCTCAAGGACTAGCCAAAAGATGGATTTCCTGGCTAAAGCTCTCACTCCTCATGCTGAGTTGCACACATACCCCTCAGATGTAAGGAAACTAAGCTTTCCCATCTGAGTCCTTTTTCTTTGCCTTAATCCCTGCTCCCTCTGTTGCAGAAAGCTCTGTTTATCTGAGAAGGGACAGCAGGAACACTCTGGCCACGTAATTGCCACGAAGGCTGCAGCGGGTCCAGCCGGTACCAGTTTGAAATGATATTTTTCGGGCCTGTGCCAACAACAGGCGGCTGCTGGGAGAGCTGAAATTGCTGCTTTTCTGCTCACATCTGCCTTTGATTTTCAATCAGAGCTGGTTGGTGAAAAGCCAACTAATCTACAGTGCTTAGGGGTTTTTTTTGTTTGTTTTTAAGGGGTTGGTTTGAGCCAACTTTAGTACCACAGAATTAGTTTTTAATAGATTTTCTTTTTTTTTTTTTTGCCCTGAATTATAAGTATTTTGGATATAGAGTATTTGAAATGGATCTTATGGGAAAATTATTATTCACTATTATTTCTTTGTATTTCTTGTGTATGACTTAAGGAGGGCCAAGACCTTCCTATAGCAGGAGCAGACAAAGCACAACAAAATGGCAAATCCAGTGGGTTCTCATGGAACCAGGGATGCAGGGAGATGGTCCCTCCACTTCATGCTCTGGAGCCAGGGTACCTGAAAAGTTTGACTTTTCTGAGAATTCAAAGAGGAATTTCCACAGTTTTCTGTGGAAACTTCTGGCATTTTGTTTGGGCTGGTGTCACATCCTCTTCCATTTGCTGCTCTTGTGGCAGATGAGGAGTTGGCTTTGTACTGAAGATACATGAAAAGTCACTGCTTAATCAGGAACTTCAAAGGAACTGGAAAAGGATCCATCTGTGATTCAACCATCTTAAGCTTTAGGGGACAAGTCTGGTACGAGAAAAAAAAGAGGAAAAGGTCTTGGATACAGAGTTTTCACTCTTTTATGACAGTTTTTCTGTGAATTACAGTAACAGAAAGTACTGGCCTGTAACTAACACAGTTTATTGCTTGATGGCCTTTATTTATCCAAGGCTTCATTTGATATGTAACCCACTTAGAAAACAATTTTTAAAGTTGGGTATACAGTTACTGTTGCAAAATGCTGAATTAATAACCCTCTGAAACAGCAGTTTCCTCTTAATGTGGGGAGCACTGGCTGGGTGAGGCAGAGAGCACATTAATCACACTGACAAAGAAATAACATAAAAGGTAAAACCAACTAATAGAACACAACAGTTGCACTGTGAACCATTAAGAGTCACACTTTGGTGCTTTGTACCTGTATTTTAATGTGTGCTAGTGCAAAGTCAGTGTAAAAATCCACCTTGGTCAGCCTGGGTGTGTATTACACGCTCTGCATTATTATCCTTCTATGTATATTTTCTATAGCTGGTGATTTTTTTACTAAAGGTCTAAGTTTTAGTGCTGAAAATCCATGAACCCCATCCTTTCTCTACCAGCATTGATGCAATAGTTTAGCTTGTTAGGGAATGGGTTTAAATAGTTGAAAATAACAACTGTGTGTTTGTTGAGCAAAGTCCAATCTCCAGGAGCCCTTGATTTCTTCTGCTATATGGCAAAAGCTTGAAAGGCCCCTTAATAACAGATAACCCAGTGCTAAAATCCATAATTTCTTTTTGGTTTGTTGTCTTTTAGCCATGAGAGATTGTAACTGCAGGGACAGGCTCTTCTCTGCCTTATGTGGAAAGCAGAACACAGAGAATTTTAAATCTTTACACATTTCAGCCTTTGTGGGACATTTTTAGGGAGTACAGAAGTGGTGGTACCTCTGTGGTGCCTAAAAACCTTGATCTTGGTATGGTTTGTGCTTATGTCCAGTGCATTCACCTGCACATCTGACCCAGGCACCAACGTAAGCTGAGTAATTTTAGGCTTTTAAGGGTTTTAATTGAAACTTCTTTCCTTCCTCCATGCTTGGCCTTCAGCAAACAGGTTTCTTTTTTTTTTTTTTTCAATTCTTTTTTAAGGAAGGAAGGAAAAGTCTTGAACTTGTGTTGGGCTGATTTTGTTTGAACAGAGCCCTGTGTGTTACCCCCCAGCACACAATGGGGCTCTGTCCAGGGAGAGTTGGCTGAGTGGGTCCTTATTCAGGGTCATTCATCACCACAGCTCGTGCAGACGTGGCAGATTTACATCAGTGAAACTGAGGAGGGAAAACAACAGGCCCATGATCTGAAGGAAGGGCTGGAGTTATTTATGAAGTGCCAGCAACGTGCTGAGGACCAGATGAAGATCTGACCAGCCTGGCTCTGCAGAGGTGCTTGGTGGCAGGGTGACATGTCACCCAATGCTGCAGGGAGGGGGACAGTGTGTTTGACAACTCAGGGCTCCTCACAGGCACAGGGCAGGGTGTGGTTTGGACATCTTGGGAAGATGGGACATGTGTGGGAAGTCACTCTAATGGTGCGACTTTTCTATAGACAGTAAAATTATTCAAAGAAAATCATGTTCGTGTTGCACCTGCTTATGTGAAGCCTCAGGAGGCTTCACCTGGTCAGGAAGCAACAGGGACAGCTTCAGATCCCACTTCGCTCATATTTGTCCAAAATAAATGCCAAAAACATCAGAGGGGATGCAGAGGTGGATGGGGAATGTGCTTCTTGGAGTCAGCAATTCCTCCTGCTTGAGGGGCTCAAACCTACACCTTCCCTGGTGTCTCTGTGCTGTGTTTCAGTGAGGGACCAGCAACAGCTCTGAAGTTGTTTCCCAGGAGCCCAAGCCCAGGCCAGGCTCAGTCCAGCTCCAGGAGCATCCTCGGGATGGGCTGGGTGGGAGCAGGATATGCAGTGTCCTCTGCTTGTTCACAAATCCTCTGCTTTTCATGGCAATACTCGCTCAGCAGCCAATTGCCAGGTCATGAGGAAGCATTCTCCCACTCCCTGTGTCCTGGTGGTTCTTGTTAGAGGAGAAATTGCATCTCTTGGCACTGCTGGACATGAGAGCTGCTCTGGTTTCCGAGGCGTTGCTTTTCGGTGAGTGTCTCCAGCTGCTGCTCTCCCCTCACCCAGGGCACTGACTCATCTTTTTGCCATCACAATAAGTCTGTTTTCATAAACAAAATTAAGTGCACTGTGTTTATTCATTAGGGAGATTTGAAGTCTCTCAGCAACCAAGAAATATACTTCGTGTATGAACTCTCCCTCTTCCCCCTCTTCTCTTTTAACAACTAAGGGGGAAAAAAAAAGATTTGGGAAAACCCAGTGCTCTCAGTGGGTGGTTCTGTGTCTGCTGATGGGCAGCATCTCCCCTGAGGGCTATTATCTGTCAGCTGGATTTGTACATCTTGGAGGGGGATATTTAAAATTACACAGAGATGAATGGGAAAAAAATGGGACAGGTGAATGAACTGGGCTTTAAACAACACTCCAGGTAAGGACAGTACAGGGGAGGGGTCCCAGGGTAGAGAGAGAAGCTTGTCTGGCACTTGGATGACTCTGTGTCAGAGGCTTTCTTACAGGTAGTTTGGGCCACTACTGGGCATGGACAGAGCCAGGCATGGCAGGTTTCCTGATGTCCCTGTGCCAGAGCCCTGGTGGCACAGCCAGTGCTCTGCTGTTCTCTCTGCTGTGTCATCTCACCCCAGCCTACCCCTCTCCTTCCCACAGCTGGACCCAGCCCCTGATCCTGAGGGATATGAAATCCAATTTGCCTCCAGTGCTGACAGGTTTTCAGCTGGATCTGCAGCCAGGTAAGAGGCTCCTGCAGCCACATCATGCCAAGATTCCCTCTTTTTGGGTGTCACTCCTCCCTGCTGCCAAGGCTCCTGCAGTTCCTGCTGCCTGGGATTACTGAGGCACCAGTGCCATTGGCAGAGCCGGAGGGGAACAAAGAGGGAAGCAGCAAAATGGATCAGGTATAATGTCAATACACAATGGGGGCAACTCCAGCCTCTGAACCAGCAAGGTCTGGGTTTGAGCAGTGATTAATAAACCCATGTTATTACAGGGTAGAAAATATACCTTGAATTTCTGCTCATAACAACTACTCAGTGACTTCCTGCTTAGTATGCAAATGTTGTACCCATTGAAGTGGAAATAAACCTGGAATTTGCTGTCTTTGCAGCAGGATTTCAGCCATTCTTGAAGTCCCACTTTCTACCACATAACATAAATGAAGTGAATACCTTTCACTTCTGCTTTAGAGGGATCCATAAATCAGAAACAAAGGACAGATGAAAAACAGGCTGGTGTTTCTCCTAGAGCAGCAGGAATGCTGTGCCAACAGCAACAATGTCAACGTGACCTGCGGTTTCCATGCCAGATGATTCCATGGAACTTGAGGCTGCTCACCTTCCAGGGAGCCAGCCCTCACCTGCAGCACTCAGCCTCCCTCAGGGGTCGTTCCTCGGTAAGAGGTGCTGGCAGCCACCTCAAACCTCATGAATTTGGGGGAGCAGGGCTGTGGGTATTGATGGGGGCTCAGACTTCTGATAACTGGGTTTGTGCCTGGTTGTCATCGCAGCTGCTGTGCAAACACTGGTTAAACACAGAGCTGCTGTGAGTAATAGAAAAGACCTCATCCCTGACCATCACCCCCTGCCTGCTGTGTGGGACACGGGAGCAGAGATCAGCCCAGAAAATTCCCTGCTTTCTTTGGAGGGAACCAGGCAGCACAAGGTGAACCAAACTGCATGGAAGCCTGGAAAGCCAAGATTTTGGAAAAGTGCATGTGTGTGTGTTGGGGGGTAACAGCTTTGCCTGGCAGTGCCTCAGCTGTCCTTGGCTGTCAGAGTGGGGAGGATCAGAGTGGCTGTGACACCTGCTCACAGCTCAGCCGTGACACGGTGCTGGGTGGGAGGCCGGGATGTGAGAGGGTGCAGCACGTGCTGCTGCTGCCATCAGGACCTTGCCTCCCTCTCCCCAAATGCTGGCCACCATGGGAAGGGTTTTCCATGGCCAGCCCATCTCCTGCTCCCTCTGGGGGTCTCTCAGGTGGGTCCCTGCCCTGGGTCTGTGGTGCAGGACCAGCGCTGAGCTCAGCTCCCTGCAGATGGCACTGATATCCTGTGCAGCAGCAAACCTTCCCTGCATTTTTCCCAGACTTTTTTTCTTGCTAGGGAAAACAAAAAAAAGACACAACCCTCCATGCAGTATAAAGAGCACATTTTCTATAAACTTTGCTTGGCCCCAGCCTGCAGCTGAGAGGGAGTGGTGCTGTTGTGAGGCAAAGTGTTACACTGCCCATTCCCACACCAAAACCTAGAAAATCATGGAATTACTCAGGTTGGAAAAGACCTTTAAGATCAGAGTCCAACTCTTAACATAGTGCTGCCAGTGTAAGATCCACGGTCACAGCTCAATTACATTTATTCCTTCCATTTATTTCTCATGGTAAAAGATCTTTTTTAAAGGTAAATGAAGCCAATATGGTTTCTTGTAAGAGCCCTGTATAGAAGCCAGAATGAATCCTGATTTATAGAACTGGAAAAAAGAGTAAGGAAAGAAAGGTGCTCCTGATTGAACTGGTCACTTGAGACTTAACTCAAAAGGGAAAGGTCTCTTACCCCACTTTTCCTTTAGTGAAGCCTAATATGAAAAAGCTTAGAAATTAAACATCAGCTGGGCTTTGATTTCAGGGGTCTGCTCATGCTGATATAAGCAGGCAGCTGAGAAGGCTTTCATGACACTGCTCATATTTCAATAAGGTTAAATAAAGGGTCCATGAAAAATACACTCAGGCCAACTTAAACCTTCAGGTCAAGCCCAGGGGTACAAGGAGTTAAACTGCACTTTCTTACTGCTGGTTTCTTACCAGGCACAGCCCAACCCTTAGAGCAGTTAATAACACCTAGAAATAACTTCTCTAATGGCATGAAATCCCAGAGTTGTGCATGACTGATGCAGCTGGCTGGGAAGGGCTGCCGTGCTTTCTGCTTGGTTTCTGAGGAAAACAAGGCTGGTATGGTGAACGCTGGCTGCTCCCACAGCCCATCCCCGGCCTGAGAGTCCATTTCATCCAAACTCCCCAGGCAGAGCAGAGCTCTCATGGGCAGTTAGGCAGCTAATAGACTGCAAAAGCCCAGAAAAATACATCCTTTTACTGTTTGTGTGTATATCTGAGCAACAGATAATGTTTTTATTTTAGTGCCTGCGCTCTGAGCTCTGGGCTGCCTCTGAACTCTCCTTCTTGATTTCAACTATAATTTCAGTGGTCTGCTGAATAAAGAGGTGCCTTTGTACTGCAGTCACCTCCAATGCCTGGCTTTGGCCCATTGGTGTGCATGCAGCTCCTGCCAGCCTCTCCCACCACCTCCTTCCCCTGGGTTTTTGGGGTAAGTGGTTGCTCACAATCTCAGCAATTTTGCTGTGCCAGCAGTGTTGCCCTTGAGGTCAGTAGGAGCCCAAATCCTCTGCTGTGGCCTTCCCTTCCTAAATAAAACTAATTCAAACTCCTCTATAGCATGGGTTCACTGAGATGATGAGTTCACAGGAGCAGATGGTCCAACTAAGGTCCAGGGATAGGGAAGATAAGGACGGTGTGGGGTGGGAGCTCATCTTCCCTGTGAAGCTCCCTTACAGCAGCCCAGTTGAGCTTGGCCACCTGAGCAAGCCAGTGATGATGTATTTAGAAAAGAATCTGGTATGAAGCTGAAAGGCAGCTTCTTAAATTGCCTAAATTACATTTGTATTCAAAAAAAGAAAAAGAAGTTGTAAATCGCATATTTACACAACAGAGCACGCGAGCGAGAGAGGGCTCATACGAGACCCAGATGTTCATTAGAAACAGGGATTGTTCTTCCTTGCTGCTACCCTGAAAACTGGGAAAAGAGTCAGCTGTGTTGAAGGGTTACAAAGGAGGGAGTTAAGTCTACAAAATCCAGGAAATTTCCCGTTAAGACGAAAAACCTGGGGTACTGTTGTAGTCTTTTAATTCCGACCCAAGACGTAAATTAAAGCCAGAGGATCGGGTCAGGTGCTTGGGTTCTCAGCCCTTAACTGTGGAATTTCCAGGTTAAGTTACTTAAACTTTCCTGTTGCTGAATAAAGCTAAAATCCTGTGTGCCATATATTTGCTCATCATAAAATGTTCTCTCCCAGCCAGTAACAGCTTCTTTGTTGGCGAGGCCTGTCTGGTTTATGAGCTTCCCAGCCTTTGTACAGGGTTCTGGGAGTTAAGAACTTCCACATGGTGCCTGCTCCGAGGCTTTTGTGAATAAGCAAAGCAAAGCGCTTGCTCCATGTCCAGCAAACGCATCAAATATGGTTTGAATTCTCTGGTTTTAAATGCAAAGGATAATATTGATTTTGTTAAGGTAAATGTCTTTAATTGCACGCTGGATAAACTCGCCTCTTACTGAGGCATAATGGGCTCTGGGCACCCTTCCAGCACAGCAGTATGAAAATGTCTCTTTAGTGTCTCCAGTAGAGAAATGTAGGATTAGGATTTAGATGAACAACAATGAAATGGAGTACACATCTCCAGTCTCTGAAAAAGCATCTACTGACGCAGAAGGACATCTACTCAGATAGAAATTAATTCTTTATTAAGGTAGAAAGTCTGCAGCACCTGTTATGTGGATTGTTTGGGGCTTTTTATTGGGATGGTGGGAATAGAAAATCAAAAGAGGTGAAAACAGACAAGAAGAGAAAATGAAGAAGTTCATAAAATTGTCCCTGTATGACTCGATCTATCTCACCTACAGAACCTGAGTGGGATCTTGATGCAAAGGGGAACTGAGGAACTCATTAAAGAAGAAATATTCTGTACTCTGACATCCTTATGCACATCCCACTTGTGAGTATTTAGGAGGATGACAAGGACACGAAGACTAGTGGGTGACTCAGCCCCTTGATATTAGTTTAGCAAAGGCAATAAAGGTGTTTAAGAACAGACCAAACACTCTTGCAGCAGATGATGCCCTTTCATTTATTGCTAATCTACCATATTACAAGCAATATATAAAAATATTTTACATATAGAAAAAAAAATCATTACATTGGAGGTTAACAACGTTGTTGCAGGAATGTGAATGACAGAACCCCCTTTTCAGTTGTGGAAGTTAGGTTTTTGAACTAGCAATTTGATTCAAAAGACATCTGTTAGGGTGATTTGAGTGACAAGTGCTCACTCCTGTTAACATATGGCTTTACCTGAACATCCAGGGCAGGGCTCCAGGGGGTGTTGGACTTCGGGGGGGAATCACTTCAGAATTACACACACACACTCAAACACACAGATCTGTGAGTCCCAGCCAGGCCATCACTGTTCATACTGAGCTGTCTCTCCACTCCCCGTTGGTCTCACACCACCTGTGCTTCAGGTGCTGCTCAGCACCACCAAACTGAGGGCAGCTCAGTCCTGGAACAGCTGAGGATTCCAACAGCATATCTGTGGATTTCTGGGCTATTACAAACACATAAATCACTAGTCATTTTTGTGACAGTCATTGTAGAACTTTCTACTCCATTTTGCTATTTTATGGGAGTTATTGACAAGGAACTCAAACCACCATTCCCCAGATAACCACTCTTTTTGCAGCTGATATCATCTTTCACAGCATCAGCACCTTCATTTGAAATTTACTGCAATGCGGGTCAGGGGCTAAGTCATATTTTTTTGCACCCCAGAAACAATAAAAATGGCTAAACAAACCTTAAACAGCCCAGAGTGGGTTAGACACTGACAGGCAGTTTAACAAATCGCTATCAGCTGCCACCCACTGCACTTATAAAGGAGCAGATACTAAAGGTACAGATGTCAATCTTATGGCAAACATACAAAAAGGTGGATTGTTCATTCCGAACTGAGATGAATAAAGAATTATAACCTTCCATGTGTGACAGCAGAGTGTTGCCTTACTCTTACAGGTAAGAAACCACTGCAGTGTAAACGATGAGGAATTTGCAATTCAGCCCATCTAGACCCAACATCAGCATCTCTTCCTATTGCACAGGAATGTGGAACATAAATAACAAACACTCAGAATTGCAGCTAAACTGGAACGTCAGATGACTTTAAGTGGTGCAAAAACTACGAGGATCTGAATCAGTTTAAGATTTGAAATTAAGACAGTCATTTTCTGGAGTCCCATCTGGCAGATAATTGTTCCCTATTAAGTAGCAATTTGGAAAGAAATGCAGGGGGAAAAGTCAGATTGAAATATTTAGAAACATATTTCTCTAGCATTTAAAGCTCTCTTTGAAGTCTTTGGGAAATCTATCAAATACATGGTTTTTTTTAAGACGGTAACAATTCAACAACAATTGCATAGAAAATTAAGACATTGAGAAAATGAAAATCGATCCTTTATAAATACTAACCTTAATCCAAAAAGTGTTGCATATTTGGTCAGACAAAAAGCATAGTCACTTTTTTGTAAAGAAATGGACTACAAAATATACTTTAAAAACATGCTAGCTACTCTGAGAACTGGTTTAGATATGTTATCAAGCAGCAGCTTTTTATACAATAGAGAATAACATAGTGCTGGTTTGGGAAATATTCTACATTCAGAAAATGCTGTATTCCTACAAGGAGCATGGAAGTGATACATATTTACATGGATACAAATAAAGCAAGTGCAAAAACCATGACTCTTCTACATTCTTTCTACCATAAAAACACATACATGAGACACTTTCACTCCATTGTTGTTGCTCAGATCTTACATTCTGCTCATTCTCATGGAGAAAAACAAAAACAGGACTTCATATTTCATTGCAAGTATCTTCACAAGCAATTCCCCTCCTGGCAAACTCGACTTCCAACACTCATAACTGACAAAAAAAAATAATCTTCCTGATGTCTGTCCACTCCCAGTCCACTCTCAGACTGTTTACATATCATGAATGATGATTTTTATTCTACGTATATTTGATGCAGAAGTTTATAGAAGCTCATCCTGTATTTGCAGCCAAAGCTTGGATGGAAAAATGAAAGTAAAAAAAAAAAACCACACACACACACACACACAAAAAAAGAGATGAACTTTTGAGTTCCAACGAGCCCCATGTACTTTGCATGGTGTAACTTTGATGGAAAATGCATTAGAGTTGTTCACCCTGTAGACAAGATATTTGTAGGCCTTTGGTACAATGGCAGGAAGGCACTGTGGTGAAACATTCAGATAACTGAGGAAAGACAGAATTTCCTCATGTGCAAATATGGCTATCTTCCAGATAAAGTGAGAACAAATTACTCACAAAATGGTATTAACTCTTCCAAGGTTAAGCTCATGTTTCTACAGAAAGAGAGCAAGTTGTATAAAGTAACAAAAATATTAATACTGAAAAAACACTGCTCAGCAAGAACAGGAAATAATTTAGTACTGTATATTTTGAAGTTCCTCAGCCAAGCTATATAATTTTAATGTATCAGTTTTCATTTTAAAAAGAGACAACAACGCATAACACTATGTCTGAGGATGCTCCTTTTCTCCAGAAATAAATACAAAGTTGGTTAAAGCTGTATTATTTAACTATTGGTTGCACATAAAAGTAGATAGGGCAGCACAGCCTGACCTCATGTAGCTGTAAATAAAACCACTAAAATGTAGTCTATAGTATGTACATGGTATGAACCCTCAGTCCTGGCTCCATGTGCTGCTCACACGGGGCTGGAGCCAGGACAGGATCGTGACCCAGCGTTGTAATGGGGTTGTGTGTGTTCATATAAAATCATATTTATACAATGTACCCAGATAGATCAGAGAATCAAGGAATGGTCTGGGTTGGAAGGGGCCTTACAGCTCATCCAGTCCCACCCCCTGCCATGGGCAGGGACACCTTCCACTAGCCCAGGTTGCTCCAAGCCCCGTCCAACCTGGCCTTGGACACTTCCAGGGATGGGGCAGCCACAGCTTCTCTGGGCAACCTGTGCCAGGGCCTCCCCACACTTAGAATTTCTTCCTAATATCCAACCTAAAACTACTCTGTCAGTTTGAAGCCATTCCCCCTTGCCCTGTCACTTCAGGCCCTTGTAAATAACCCCTGTCTATGTGGGTATATTATATAAACTACATGTATATGCACCTGCACAAACACACAAACAGATTAATATCTATGCATTAAAAATGAGGAAGGAATATAGCTAATGCAAGAGCAACAAAAGCACCTGTAGCACATTTAAAAAAAAACAAAAACAAACTCCAAACACTCTCTCCTCAAAAACAAAGTGCCTGAAGGAACATATAAGCACAGTGGAAATGTACATTTTGGTTACAGAGCCCAGGTGTCCTGGGTGTGTCCCAAACAGGAGTTCATGGAGCACTGCAGGGGCTCAGGGGTTTGCCTGCCTGGGGCCCTCTGACCACTGAAAAGCCTTTGCTACAAGTCCACAACCTATTTTGCATGGCCAAATGTTGCAGCTTTCAGCTATTCTTTCCTTTTGTGATGTATTAAAAGGACATTTCAGCATCTACAATACGTAAGGCAGAACTTAACCCTTGACTTTCCTGTTTGCTCATATCCAGCACTAGATTTTCCTTTTTTCCCTTCTTTTCTTGACTGATATTACTGTAAAAATAAATATGCAAAAAAATTATACTCCTAAATTGATGAGCAGTTGCTACAATCACCAAATATACTTATAGACAGCATCAGCACACCTACAGATCTTAAAAGACCTTTATATTCTTGAGATTCTATTTAAAATCCAGCAAAGGAAAAGGTTCTGTCACTTCTTTGGGATTTTCTGGTTTTCTGTGAGTGGGTTTTTGGTTTATTTGCTTGTTTAATTGTTTTTAAATTTCTCCTATACTTTACAGGTTGGACCAGGGAAAGATATGTTAATACTTCCAAGTGTGAAACTGGGAGACACATTTGGTCTGTTCTTTTACTCAGCTGCAGCAAAGAACTCCTGACAGGGAACTTTTGGTCTTTAGAATATGTCCATCAGACTGCATTAAAAATCCACTATGTCTGTCAGATTCTGGCACACCGACAGTCTTAAAACAATCCAAAATAGCTTATTTGAGGCATGTGAGCCAGTCAAAGTACTCTGTGAGCGCTGTTTAACAGTAATTCCCCTGTGCTGGAGTCCTTTCAGCTGGTCTGGGCCTCAGTTTTGGTTCTATAAAAGTCAGCAGTAAAAAAAGAGGCCATTTTCACCTCTGCAGGTACAGGCTGAGGCTGGGCCATCTCACCAGTCGTGCTGCTGCGTGTGGAGCTCATAACATGAGCCCCAGAACTGAGGCAGCCAGGGAGTTTTTGGTGTTGCTGAAATGGGACACGGGGGACTCATTCTGGGACAAAAGATTTGAATCTCACCAAGTGGAAACAGAAGCCAAGTCCCCAAGGTGTGTTATTAACGCCAGGTTGGGATGTGCAGGGTTCTGGGGCCGGGCTGGGCTGAATCCAGAGTTTAGAGCTGCTCTTGTGAAATTCAGATTTCTGTTTCAGATCCAGACCTGTTGAGACCCAGGTCAGGTGTTCTGAAGAGTCCAAATCTGCCTCCCACTCTAAACCCCAAGACCTTGCAGAGTTTAAGCACCAGCTTTTAGCGGTAGAAAACACAAACTCAATACTCACAAAGGGATTTTGGTTGGACTGAGCACAAACTCTGCAGGGATTGTGCAAGATCTGCCTTGAGCCATTGGGGAACCAACTTTGGGGCTGCTCTGCTGCATTCCCATAATGTAATTCCTGCTGTGAGCACGTGGACACGCTGGTATTCAGCAAAGTTTACCGGGAAACAACCGAAAACAGGATTAATTTCACTGTGCTTTTTAGAACAGAGAGCAGGCTCCACACTCCTAAAGGTATCAGCGTTCCTCCTTTATAAAACCTATTTCCTAAAACATTATGGCTGTTTTTTACTGCACATCGATTATCCACTCAGGATGTCCTTTTGTCCCCCTGTGGAGGCACTGACACTCCAAAGTGTTCTGACTTGTAGATGTACAACTGCAGGTGGCAGCGGTTACCTGGTATTGTGATAAGCAGTGTCAGCACAATCTATTCTAACACATGAAGCAAAACACAACAAAATACTAACTCACGTGGAAATGTAACTTTTCCAGATATTGCTGGTAGCTTTGCAAAGCTAAAGAGACAAGGTGAATATAAGTAAGTGTATATTTTTTACGGAATGTATGGCTTCTGTAGGATGCAATTATTTTCCTCTGCAGCTTGGGGTGATTAAATGTTCCAGCTGCTAAATGAGACAATGAGACAAGTTACAGGCCAATAGCAGGTTCTACATGAAAAGAAACAGCAACAGTTTGTTAGAGAGAAAACATCTAAGTTGTGTTCATACACTGCCTAAATATTGATAAGTATCAGTCATAAAATCTTTGGATTTACTGTGACTCCTAGATATTAATCTCTATTTTATCTGCCTTTATTTTACCTTGGGACAGGTGTTGCAACTGCTGAATTGTTCTTCTTCACTGGTTCTCAGTGAGAATCCCTCTCCTTCAAATTCCTATCCAGTTTGACATGAAAAATGAAGAAAACTCCTGGATTCAGCTGACATTTTCTGTTTGAAATACCAATCACAGTGCTCAGAGTCAGAAAAAAATGGCTTTTGATTCCAGGTTGGATAAAGGCCGAGTAAGCTTGGGTTGCCTCAGTTTCCTACAATAATGAAATTTCTCAGAAGGGCTTTGAGACCTGGAGGGCAAGTCCTTGCTAGTGACCTGCAAATCATGTTATTCTTTAATGGAATATATTACTCTTTCTTCCCCCATTTCCCACCCCACCCAAATAAGCTCTAATGCACGACCTCCCTTGCTTTGTGTGGTTCAGGAGTGACAGATCACTTCTCCCTCAGCACTAAGATAGATCAATACATAGATATTTTGCAGCAGGCTTGAAGTGTTTCCTCAGACAGATGCTCTGTTACATGAGAACAATACAATCTTTGGAGGAAAGGAAGGGTGTCCTTCTTGGTGTTTACAGAGAGAGGTGGCAAGTTGCTTAGTCAAGGCTGTCACTTGATGCCAATACATTGTTCCTTGCATTGAGATGAACTGTAAAGGAAGCTGGAGGTTGCAGGGGCACTGGAAGGACCTAAGAGGTCAGTTATGGAAGGATTCGGTAAAAGTTGTCTCACAAATCTCTTCTTCTATGTCTGACTTCTGGCAGGGAGTCCAGAAAATTCCTTCCTGATAATTTCGTTAACTGTGAAATAAAAGAGAGAGGAGGAAATGTTAAAGCACTTTCAAACCCACGACAAGTGGAAAGTAAAAGCAATCCTTGGGCAGTTTGCTGTCAAGCTGAAAACATCCCCTCCATTCATAACATAATTTTATTAAAGCCTAAAACTTTTAGTCCTATTTACCCAGACTACATATTTTTGGAAGGCAAGGGGAAAGGAGGAGGGAGAGGGGGTTTACACTGTGTTCAGCTTCAAGTACCATAAAACACACCTGAGAGGCTGCACCAGGAAGCCAGTACCTGCCACATCCCACACACACAACACTTGCCCTCTGGCACAGACATTGCCCTTACCCGAGGGAAAACAGAAAAATCTCAAAGTCTCTAAGCATTTTAACACATTCACTAGGCTGAAATAAGATTATTTTGAAGAGAAGAAAGGCCAAGTTTGGAGGAAATACAGTGAACAGTGAAGAAAACACAGAGACTGCAGTTCAGGTGAGAAAGTGTAGCTTGTGTTTGGGTGGTTCTTATTTACTTTTCTTTTTCTTTTTTAATCGATAATCTCACTCTAAACTCTCTTTGCTCTACATTTTTATTATAGTTTGTCTGTAGACTGTAGCATAAGCAACTTCCATGCACCACCAGGATACTGTCAGAGGCTGGGACAGGCTTGTTAATAAAACTCAAGAGAAGACATTGAAAAACTTTGTTTAAAAAGTCAGACCAGTAGTATATATGTTATATACAACAACCAATCTCTCCTGTTGACTTTCTCTCTTACTTGCCTAAAGCACTCTTTGGTACCTCCTGGAACAACAATTCTCTCTCTAGAACTTAAGTGCTCTCCAGAACTTAAATGCAGCAAGTTCCCATCTCTCCACGCTCACAAATCCCACCATCGACAGCCAACAGTTTAGTTCTTTCTAATTCCAGCTGGGAAGTGCCTGATTTCAACCAGATTGGTGGCTTTTGGAGATGACATGGACAAAAAAACCTTGCTGACAGAACTCCTGTCCTCCTGCTGCCCAACATTCTACCTGCCACCATCACCTGCTGGCTTCTACCAGCCCCTGGGGTGAATTCTTGCAAATCAAGCCCATCTGTGGGGATCTGGTGTGGTGCTGCTCTGCAGTGCAAGTGAGCAACCAGAGGGAGGTGAGGTTGGTCCACTTTGAGGCCAAAACCTCCTCCAGCTCAGTCAGAGCTTCCTGTTTGCTCTACCCAGGAAATGAGAGGAGCAGGTCTTCAATGGAAATTTTTCACAGCCTCAGCTAAAAATAGCAGTGAGGTAAAAGAAATGGGCACCCACTCTTACAGGGTCATTTCCTTTCTAAAAACAAGTGGGCTGAGGCTGGAGGCTGATTTATTTATCGACACGTTTGTTTGAGCAGCCAGTGTACCAAAAATACCATATATGAATTTCCTTTCATTTAATACAATAATGGAAATATCAGAGCCAACAATCATATCTAGGAAGGGTTAAATACAAGAGAAACATGAACAGATAATCGAGTTTACTAAACCTACAGGCTTTTGAGGGGTCCAGATTTGGTTCTGTTTCCCTGACTGGACGGTGTGGGCAAATGCTGACTCAGCCTGCAAACTTCACTTTCCCTCCTGTGTGCTGAACAGAAGGTCAGCAGTGGGTTCTGTGGGCTGAGGTTATAGGGGGACTGCACTCTGAATAGAGCTAAAAGGTTGCAGGGAACAGTATGAAACAAGAACCCCACGGAGTGGCTGCAGGACTGAGATTGCTCCCTGCGAGCTCGTACGGGTGGCAAGGTGGATTTCTGTTGGAGACACCTGAATGACAAGAGTTCCCTGTGATCACCTGGCCTGAAGGTCCTGTTGTCACCCTGAATTTCACCTAAACCCAAGTGGAGAGGGGAGTGTCAGGTGCAGTTTAAGCTGGACAACAGCAGTCTGGGAGCTCTGAGTGAAAGATGTAAGTCAGTGCTTGTCCCTGCACTAAAAGTCCTGATCTACAACCAGAGTCCCTAAACCTAATGAATATATAAATGTAACAGGAATGTATCCCAAGGCAAGTATCTCTCTCCCAGCTTGGAGTCACCTCCAGACCAAGCCTAGTGAAATCACACATCTTTGTGATTTGGGTCCAGATCCAGGCATAATCCAAGAGATTTGGGTTTCAACAGAACAAAATCAGCAAACTGAGACCTATCTAAACCTCAGAGGAAGCCGAGATCATGTGCTGAACTTGCTCTTCTGAACTCCCATCTATCTTTTTTTAGTAGCATGGTTAAAATGTAGCTCGAGTATCAGTTCTCATTATTTGCTCATTTCTAGCTGAGAGGAAATGGAGATGATGTGATTAATAAATAAAATATTGTTGTTTAAGGTGCCTGGAGTGTGGCTGCTCTGGAGCTATTGATATGTTTAATGATTAAATGGGGTCACAAGGACATGTGTTAAGATAACGAAAGATTAAATCATAAAAAAGGATATTGAAATTACAGTTGACATCAGCCATACAGACCAAGGTTGGCCCTGAATCCCTTCAGCATATCCTCTGTTACACTACTGTTGTAGGAGCACAACAACGCCCCGGTGCTTGGAGACCCCATCAGACACTGCAGAGGCTGCTGGAATCATGGGAGGATGTCTGTGATCCCCTAATTGCTCAGCTTTGATGGGGCAGAGTCAGTCTCTCAGGCTCCAGGCCTCAAAGACATTTAAGCCTCTAATTCACATCCTCTCAGATAGAAATCTGGAGCGTGTTCACTCACAGGATGACAGTGGGTTGTATTAAATACCGAGCTCCACCGGGTAGCCCAGAGACAGAAAACAGCCCCCAGTTCAGCTGGCAGGGAGTCAGGCTCCCTGGAATTGATTCTGTACATGGAACTGATTCTATACATCTAATTGATTCTATACATGCAGTTGATTGTATATGTGCACACCCCCCTCTGCCTGTGTGCACACAGCCACACATCCAAGTGACAGCTCCACCAGTGTTGTCCCATGGATCTGTCTGGAATAACACCAAGGAAGTTGATGTTGTCACAGTCACTGTCACTCATGGCAGTGATGCACTTGGAATATATTTTGAATACATAAACAAGTAAAAACTTGAATTTTCTTGTTAGCACTTTCACCTGATAACATGTTAATCATTTTTATAAGGCACTTTAGTTGTCTCATTTATTGTATTGCAACAATTACAGCTGCTTGTTTCTCATGTAAAATGAAAAAAAGCACCAGAAGGAACGTGCAGTAGGGTGTCTGTAACCTCTTTACTTTGGGGATCAAGAGCAAGGGGCTCATCAGAGGGGGCAAAGCTCAGCCCCACTGGGCTCCTCCCTGCAACGGGCAGGGATCCTGCAATATTCCTGCAATAGTCCATGTCTGCTCCACTGACCCATCCAAGAAGTGTTTTGACATGCAAAGCAAACACAAGGCACGTGGGGAGGAACTAATGGAATAACAGGGGCTGGGGAGGAAAGCTGAACCCTGGATTTGTAGTGTGCCCCCAAAACGTGACCAGGCAAACCACAGTCCTACTGTGGGTCCAGCTGCTGCCTGGGAAGGACAGGATGCTCTAGCCCAGCATGCACAGCCCCATCTCTCCTTCCCTGCCCACCAGGCCCCAGCTACTTCAGGACAGCTCTGTGGTTCACAAGTGGGGAAGAAAAAGAATGAAAAAAAAAATAAATTAAATAAGATTTTAAACCCTTTAAGCCAAATAAAAAGGGGCATGACTTTTTAATTGAAAAAAAATAAATAAATAAAGGTTAAGAGAAACACACAGCTGGAGAAAAGGCAGAAAAATACCAATTACCTTTCTTTTTGATTGCTTGGATCAAAGATCACAGTCATTCTTTTTCATATAATGTTTTGTATCCAGCTAAGGTGTGTATCTATCAGCTCTGAAAAAGATTTGCAAAACCATTTTTGAGAAAAAAAGGTAACTTTTGACCTATGTTGCACGGTCAAATGTTACAGCTTTCAGCTACCCTTTCATTTTGTGGTTTATTTTATCAAAAGGACATTTCAGCACATACAATACATAAGGCAGAACTGAACCGCTGACCTTTCTGTTTGCTCAGATCCAGCACTGGATTTTACTTTTTTCCCCCTCTTTTCTCGACTGGTATTATCTAAAAATGAATATGCCAAAAATTTACAACTCCTAAATTGATGACAAAACACGTGAAATGCTGATAATTTGATCTGAGACTTCAGAGGCACAGGAGGTCCCTGCGACTGGTACGTCAGGTCAAAGACTAGTCACTGCCTTTTGCAAAAGTCAGCTCTGTTATCACCTCAGTGGCCCAAGTAAGATACAATACATTTATGCCAGATCAAAAGCCTGCCCCTTTTAATTAAGAGATCTAACCACAGTGGCTGTGTAAATTAGACTTTGCCTTAATTTTACAGAACAGGAAAGATGCGCAAAGAAATCATGAAAGTTACAGTCTTTGCTTCAAACACAAATAAAGTGATTTTTTTTTCCTCATAAAAAAAAGATATTCTGCTTCATTTTTTTCCTGTCTAATCTCTTTAAATTTCGTTTGAAATCACCGTGAAAGCATTTGGCACTTCTGCAAAACCACGTGGAAATTAAAAAAAGAATCGCAATTTTAAGGAGGAAAAACTGCTTCTTAAAAACTAAGTTTTGAGTGCAAGATTCAGAAGCGTCTCTGCTGCTGGATTTCAGGTGACTATATATAGAAAAGAAATATTTTACTTGGCTCCCAAGGATTGTGCAGCCACGTATCATAGACTGGAACCTACCACTCAGTACACAGCCTATTTTATACTCTGCATCCTGGAAAATCAGCTTTTGCACATGTGAGCACAGCAACTCATTGACTGGTAAATACAAACTGTGGTGGATAAGGCACAAGGAGCCCAAACCCAAAAAACTGTGCTGGGGAAAAAATACTGGGGGTGTGGGGTTGTTTTATAAATTAACAGCAATAAAAAGGCTTTTTTTTCCTGGAAATTTGGGACATGTAACTGCTAAGATGTTCTTGGCCATAAAGCTTTATTTAATTATACATCAAGAAAAGGGTTTACTCCTTACTGAAATAATGCCAACAGATACACCCTGCAACTTTTCTTCCCTGTCCTGCTTGTAATCTATGGAGTCTATGTAGAAACTTCTTCCACACCATCCAGCCCAACAGCAATCAGGTCATCTCCATGAATTAAGCAAACTCTTGGAAGTTACTGATCTCAAACTAAGTGGCAATTCAAGTCCCAGGATCCATATTTGCTACAGTAGTTTCAATAGACTCAAACCCCCTCGACATTATTCTGTGAATTTAACAACATAACCCAGATATCTGATGGAAAACAGAATCTAAATAAAAATGCATATTTTTGGCTAAAGGTTGTCCCAACTGATATCCATATCTAAACACCTCAGGATTCACAGGATCTGGATTTCACTCAGGACATTTAAATATCCTTCCCCTATATCTCAGTACAGTCCCAGAGTGAGGCACAAAAATGAAATGACCAGTACCTATGGTACTATCCTACCCAAAATGTTTAACAGGAAGCTGGGTGTGCCTGTAAGAAAAGAGCAGAAAATAAAGATAGTATTTCTGCTAAAAAAAAAATTCAATGCCCTAAATGCACTAGAGATCAAAATCATCACAGAGGAAGTACTTGAAACACAAATCTCTCTGCGACACCACCTCAGAAATGTTAAGGATTTTCTCAGTACTTTCATTATTGTCAGAGTACTTCCAGAAAAAAGATCAACAGCCACTACAAAACAACTGCCTTAAAAATGTCAGGAAAAAGTGGTCAGTGGGACTCCAGAGCTTGAACCTCTGTTCTGTGATCATCCTGCCATATGGCTCTGGTCGAGTCCAAAGCATCCCTGAAGGACCAGATTTATTAAAGATCTGTCTTGTTCCGAAAAATGCAGAAAGTCTGTGAAGGTCACACTCATGGAATTTAAATAATCCATGCTTAGCTAACAGAAACCAGCCTGACATGACACTGACCTGCACAGAATGACCTATACTCTGTAGTATATCCACTGTACTATGTGTGGATGTAGTAGAGAGCAGTCATTTTCAAGAGTCCCTACAGGAATGTTTTCAAGTCCTTAGGTAGGACTCCAGATCCTTTAGATCTCAAAGTACCACAGTCATGAGGTGCTGAGCTCACTCAGGCACTCTGAAAATCCCAACAGACAACGATTTAATTTACTAATCTAAAACGTTTGAATCTATAAATGTCAGTGAACACTGGAGTGCTAAGCACCTCTAAAAATCAGGCCCTAAGTATTTCCATTAGGAAGTTAAATGAACAAAGGTGACAGAGAGCACTTTGAAGACAGTGACCAGTTCTGACTTTGCTGTACAGCACCTAAACTGAGGAGGCTACAGAGCATCCTCAGCCTGGGGATGCCTCGACCTACCAGACACTGGGGTACCACTGGTGAGAAGCTGCTACTGACTGCTGAAGGCTTGGACTGATATCCCCCACACAGCTGGTAGCCTTAATAACTTCTTTTTAGACAAACAACCCTTTGTTTTTGCTTATTCGTGCATTACCCTCAGACGGAAGTTCCCTCTCCAGCCAAATTCTCCTCGGTGACACGAAGCAAAGTGACCCGTTATGAGGGAAGGAAAACGGAGCAGCTTGCAGCAGTGGAGGTGAGGTGCAGCCTGTGCAGCTCTGCCTGCTCTCCTGCCATGCCCAGACCTGCTGGGTGCCTCAACTACACTGCCATGCTTCACTTCAGCTTGTTACACGAATGGTTACAACCTTGTAAATCAGTAATAAGTTGCACCCAAACCTGCAAGTGATTAGTAAACAATCATTGCACTTCCATGGCCAGAGGACTTTCACAGTTAATCAGTTAAGAAAAGGATTGGGTGTTAACTGGTTGGGTAATTCCCTGGAAGACCAGTTTATTGAGACCCCGTAGTAAGACGGCTGAAATATGAGTGCAAATAATATACAGGAGAATGATATTGCTCAGAAATGACACATTCTCCTGCAGAAACATGTGCCAAAGGTTGCCCTAAAGTGAGCTGAATGTAGGAATCCTAAGGCCGATAGGTGCCATTTGTGGTGCTTTTGGTTATTTAATCCACTTGATCCCTGTCTGAATCTACTGGAAATCAATGAGTTTTCGAGGCAACTTTTCCATGAATCAGGAAACTGGGCTTATGTGATGTTTGCAGGACACACACGCACACATGAGCTTTCTAATTCCAGGTTGTTGACTGGAACAGCAAGACAAAAAGCAATTTTTTGCTGTTTGCTTGATGGATTTCAGTATTTAGTCATCTTTTTTTTTTATCAGAAGATCCTAAGACAGGTGCAACCTCTGCCTACGCATCAGCTGGAGGGAGAACCAGCATCAGCTGTGAATCTGGAAAGGGCACCTTCAGGAACAATTTCATGCCCTTTCCCTCCTGCCCCATCAGCCTTCAGCACATCCCTGTGGGCAGCCCTTGGAGCTCATCTGCAGAGTCAGACTCCTGACCTTCATTTAGAGGGGTTGCATCTCAGGTACTCAGAGTAGAATGGGAAGAAGCATCACATCAAACTGGGGTGTTTCTTTAAACCTCCCTCTCCAAACCCTTTTTGTGCCCAGTCCAAGCACTGCAGATACTGAAGCCAAACCCAAGGGATGGTGTTCAGGGTGGCATCTGGTGCCAGGTGCTGCCCATCTCCTTCCTGGGTTACCTGACAAGGGACTGGCTCTGAATATCTCTTCTGGGAGCTATATGAATATGGAACAAAAGCTCTTGTGTTATTGTTTGCTAAGACGATGATAAATATCCTGTTTATTTATCAGATAAACCCTTTAGGTCTGTTTAGTCACTACACAGGAGGCATAAAGGGACTGCAACAAGCTGAGTTGGCTTTGTGCAGCTCCTCTAATGAGTGTCAGCAGCTGCTTTGGGAAGAGTACCTTGAAAGTGGAAAACTAGCTCAGCCTGGGTGTGATGAGGAACTCCAGGCCACCGTGGATTTGGTTTGTAGTAGCTTTCCATAACAAAGTCTTTTTTTAACTGACTTTCTTTCTGCTCACATATATTTAGATATGACTTTCATTCTGCAGCTCTCCGATGCCAGAGAGTTTTGGCTGCAATTGCAAGGGAAGGGACACGTGTTTGAGTCATGGAGTTGGCTCTCTCTAGTTGATGGTTAGCGAGTTACTGAGAAAAGATGAAGTTTGTATTTAGTTTTAGTTTACATGCAACGAGACCAAGTAAAATATTCCGAGTAGAACGAGCACATGATAAATAAATACACAAAAACTTATACCAGAAGGGGATGGAGTTCATTTTATACACCACATTAGTTGGCTAAAGCAATACAGAAATATTAGGTTGATGGACTGAAGCTTAAGAAACACAAGGCAAGAGTGTTCATTTTGTCACTCCTAACTCTTGATTTAACTCTGTGGCAGCTGATGATGTTGCTGCAAAGCACAAGGGTGAACTCTGCTTGCATTTGGTTTTTTCGTGTGTGGTTTGGGCCTTACGAATTTGCTACAGAACTGCTGAGATAAGCAGTGCCATTTGGTAGGAAGATATACTTCTTTTACATTAAAATCAGCAAAACCAGAGGAGGTTGGTGACAATTTTCCCCTCCAGTAGCTTGCACCTCATGGTTTAAAAGCTGATGAAGTTAGTGTTAGACACCACAACTCCTCTAAAACAGTAACTGCCATTGGGGAGAACACATGAGCAATAGCACTATTTATTCACATGTCACTCTGCAGTTTCATCATTCTCCTGGACTTAACCTATTTACTGAGAGGCAGGATGAGTCATTCAGCAACATGATTCAAAAACAGAGAGAAAAAAGAGAATGGAAGGGAGAAAGCTATTTTTTTACAGGAAATAATTGGGGGGTAGGACCAGAAGAACAGTTGCAGCATGTT